TACCGCCGTCTGAGGACTTTGCGGGGGTCAGGGCCATATATAAGGTCCCCTTTTCAAGATCGAAGGCCATCATCTAAAGGTCGATCTTGTCATGGTCTATTAGCCTGCCTGTTAAGGCATTATGAAAAGGCTATGGAATACTTTTTTTTCTATACGAGTGTTTCTTTCCAATTCACCGATTTAAGCTGATTATTTTGCGAAATATCGTTGAGATTAAATACCGCGTGAGCTTGAATACATTGTGATACAAATTTATAAATTTCAATTTAAAGAGCAACTTGATAGGTTATCAAATGGCCATCAAAAGGTTCCTATGTATCTTGATGCTGACCATGGCGAGCAATGCGATCGCATGCGAAATCAGAAATATGGACATTGAAGAATTGGAAAAGTATCGCGGCCTCGACGGACACCCTTCAATTTATGTTTCAATTGCGTACGCATCATTATATTGACGACATAGCAAGCACATTTTCGATGTAAACTCTGCTAGAGAGCTCTATTCTGACCCTGATGGTAGTTATAAGATATTTTCGGGGAAGGATTGTACTTGCCTCTTTGCCACCAATAGAATGAATCTCGAGTGCACCAGAACGATCGAGGAAATCGATCATTTTCTAACCATGTGCAGCGATAAGGAATTGAAGGTTCGAGGGTCTCAATTCATAAATAGAACCTGCAAGGATGGCTCTCATTTTATCGGGACAAGTATCCGCAAGTAGGCTGGCTCGGAAACAATTCGTCCCTACACCCCCGTCTTGTTGGGAGCTCAGGCACTTGCAAAAAGGCATTCATTAGCCCTCGAGAAGAGGCTTCCATAGAAGATCCTCCCCTCGATGGGAAAAGGGTGCCCATCATTCCAGAATGTGGTAAGTCTTTCGAAAATGGCGCAAAGATGCCTGCGGAAAGGGACCTTTAGCCTGATATGGGTCTACTTTTCTATCTTTTGAATTGGGATTCGATTGATTTACTATGATGTCGGTTGATGATCTTGTTTTCACATTAAATCATTTCAGCAAGGAGATAGTGATCGATCGGTTCTGGGAAGTCGCGACTGTCTGGGGTAGTCATCGTAAGCACCCTGACGTGAATTTGCATCACCGGGGCGGTCTTGGTCTTGGTGAAATGCACCTCGCCTTGGATGATAGGTAGCGTCGCGGCGAGCATCCCTCGAGTAGTGGTCTCTGTAGTCCTTTGAGTATTCCCTTGAATAGTCTCGCGGATATTCTCGGGAATAGTCTCGAGGATACTCTGAGCGATACGAGGATGATGGGCGAGAATAGTAGCGGTCGTCAACGGCCCCTCGAGATCCACTATTGTAATATGGACCACGATCATCTCTTCTGGAGTATGACGACATTGCACGATCGTCGTAATACGGACTGCGGCTATGTCTTCTATCATCGCCCCCATAGTAGGAGCCCCGGTGTGGCGGTCTGGGTTGGCGACTAGAGCTAAGAGGAGACGCAGAATGATACCTTGTCGGCTTGCCCATGTAGCGTCCAGGCGTCGGGTCGTGCGGGCCACGGGTACGCGAGTAATCGACTCGAATTGGTCTTCCATCCAATTCCTTTTCCAGTTAAAGGGAAAATTTCATACCATTCCGTTGGTAGAGGCAAGGGCCTTTTCGGCCGACGCCTCATTTACAAATGTTACAAATCCGAACCCACGTGAGCGTCTGCTGTCGCGGTCATAAATGAGCTTGACAGATTCGACATTACCATATGGCTCGTAGATTTCTTGAAGAGTTTTCTCCGTGGTATACATGGAGAGACCAAAGATACCCAACACATTCGAAATCGGTCCAGTGGAGGTGGATTCGTTCTTCCGGCTTTCCGCCATCTCACCTTCGTCTTCAATTGGAGAATCAAATTCCGGTCTCTCATTCCAAGTGGACTGCGTCTCGCTAGATTGTTATCACATGAAGAGCGTCATACTGCATCGGGTAAGCTTCCTCTTCACTGGCAAACATTCCAAAAAAGTAATGCAATTAAAATTTAGCCTTAACTTTTAAATTTTTTGAGTGGATTGGAAGCACTCCAATGAAACCAGTCTTTCATTGGAATTTGTTAATGTGGCTACCTATCAGGATGAACACAATATCTATATAAGGTACACATATCTAGGTAGCGGGATAAAAACGAACATGGGATTTCCGATTTCAGTCGCTGACTATGAAAAGCTTTCTCTTTCAACTGCCATTCTTTGGTCTTTTTTAGTCTACTTTATTTTCACCGCTATCGTAGAATCTGTCGTACTCTTCTTTAAAAGCAGGAATGCAGATGCTAAACCGTTTAAAGATGAACTTTTGAATCCGATTACTGCAGCAATGTTTACACTTAGCCCAATAATAATGCTTTCGATACATGCCATAATGGCACTATTGGTTCATGGAAGCCCTGTCAACCCCAAATATTTGGCTCCAATTTTGGGATTAATTGAAGCGTTGAAACCTAATACTGGTAAACCTGTTCCTCCTAAAGACGCTAAAACTGGTTCTAAAGAAATTACTGACCCCAAATAAAAATAAATAGAAAAGTAACCAGTGTTATTCTCGCCCAGGTCTCCACTTTGTAAATATTTTTAACTCACCGTTGTGCACACATAATTCTGATGATCCGAAATGTCTGATGGATATTTTCGAGTCAAAATAAGTTTATTTGTTAGAACTTAATCCTGTAGCGGTTCAATGGAAACGCCCTTAATGATCTGTCCCCATCCGATCAGTCTATAATAAGCGATAATGTGTATACCTCCAATGATTATCAATGCGGCGAGAAAGTGCTACCTTTTCTCCGATTTCCGTGCACACGGGTTGGTTGAGCAGGATACGGGTACTTTCTTTTTTCGTTGAAATAATGCGGCATCCTGTCGAAGTTGATCCGACATTAACCGTTAGGAACTCGTTTTTTTCCAATTTTGAAATCTAAGACAAGGGAGTAAGGGGAATAGCAGGTACCTTGTTTGATTTTTCAGAGTCGCTCTTTACCCCAAGAAGCCTTCTCAGCAAGAAATGCTGGATTTCAAGCTCGACATACACGTCAGGAAGTCTGCCGCGCAGCCCTAGAACCTGCCCCACAAGATAATCAGCTCGACACAACTTTGGATCCATCAAGGTGCCAACTCCGATCAGCCCACCTGAAATAGCGAACTGAAGATCGTTATTTTCGGCAAATAGGGAGAGGATTCGAGAATAAATTGGCCGGCATCGGATGCGTCCCTCTGCATCTTTGGAGATGATTCCGGGACGCACCTCAATCTCATCGCCGACCTTGAGAACGCCGCAGAGAATGGAACCTCCAGCAACACCGCCCTTAAGCTCTTCAATATCAGCACCAGGCTTGTTAACATCAAACGACCGGATGACGATCATTTTGGGATCGGCTGTGAAGTCTCTTTTTGGGACAGGAATGGTGTTCGCAATGGCCTCGCACACAGCCTCCATGTTATATTTTAGCTGTCCAGAGATAGGAATGATTGGGGCCTGCTCTGCAACCGTTCCGGCTGCAAAACGCTTGATTGACTCGTATTGCTCCTCCGCCATGGTTTCCTTCACAAGATCGATCTTGTTTTGCAAAATAATGAGATCACGGAGCTTCATAATTTCGATGGCGGCAAGATGTTCGGCCGTTTGCGGCTGGGGGCATGACTCGTTCGCAGCGATGAGAAGCATGGCTGCATCCATGACCGCCGCTCCGTTGAGCATTGTCGCCATCAGGATATCATGTCCGGGACAATCGACAAAGGACACATGCCTTATTAGGTTGAGAACACCGTCACAGCCTGGTCTTGGACATACCGGGGAGGGCTCCTTATCCGATTTATAGGAGCGGTAGCAATCTGGATCTGGGCATTCTGGATTTGTACATTTGAATATTTTGGCGTTGGCATATCCAAGCTTGATTGTGATATTTCTTTCAAGCTCGTTTTTAAAACGTACAGTTTGTACGCCCGAAATCGCCTTCACAACGGTGCTTTTGCCATGCGCGACATGTCCAATTGTGCCTACGGAGATAAGGAAAGGAAAACAAACCCAAATTAATGGTGGCTTGTCTTTGGATAATCTCTGGTATCAAGGGGTCTAGATCTTTCAAGCTGCATGGAAGTTCTCCGGGCTTGATATGCGGAAGCTTGACAACACTTGAAGCTTCAGGGGGGGCAGCGATAGCCCCATGAGTTTGTGACTGCTCCTTTTGATTCATAATTAAAATTTTAAATTTTCAAACTTGAATTCTTGCAATTTGTTTTTAGTTTATTTTGTAATTTTAATTCATGGTTTCCAGTCGTCGCGTTTCGTTTTCTTCCAGCAGCAAAAAATCGTCTCCTCATCAAATGTCGATCGTCAGCGAAAAGGAATCAAAGAACAAAATACCCTCTGCCTCTAATAGAGTTGTTACGCTATCAAAGTCTGCATCAACTTCTCCCGCGTCCCTTTCATCCAGATTTTCACAGCTGAAATCTAAACCCAATCATACACCGATGGCAACAGGCATCAAAAAGGCTACGCTCAGCCAAAAAGGAAAGTCCTCAAACAGGGGCCCAAAGCGCAATAACAAATGGAAGAAAAAGCCTGCCGCCCCCACTGCTGCTTCGCTAGATGCCGCGATTGATACATTTATGATGAAGGATCCAGGTATTGCAAAAGAAAGGCTTGATGCCGATATTGATGCATATATGAGTATGGAGGTTGAGACATTAGGAAACCCAGGAGCTCAGCTCCAGCCGAGCAGCATCGAATAAAATTCTCTGCGAACCGCTCCAAATTTCTATGCACACGAGGTTCTCTCAATGTAACAATGTCGTTCTTTTCAATCACACATTACCCCCCCCCCCTTGTACATTATTTCACTTAAGCATGTCGGATTGTTCCGGCGCATGATGTCAAGATATGCCCGTTAAGCCGGGTCTTTAATAAGTTTGGTGCAACACTACACTACGCCATCCATTTATTTGAATCGAGGTTTCCGGGCCTTCTACACTAGGCCTTTGAAATAACGTGGGCACTCAAATGCTCTGGATTGACGAGCCTGCGAGTAGCTTCATCTGAGCCATATCCTTCCTCCTCGTCTGGCCAGTTCCAATAGAGCAGAAGGGATACGAACACTGCGGCTGCCTCAATAATCCCAATCGAAATCAGAGAAACCCCTGTCACTTGCAAAGATCTGTTTCCTGCCGCGATGACTTTATCTTTGCATGGCACTAGGAAGCCAAATTCTTCTGAAATGGAGCAGTCGGAGGGAACCGCTCTGTCAATCAACGAAGAAAATCCACAGCAGCTGAAGACCTTTTCCACCCGCTCAATGATATCTGGATGAGATTGATAGGCCTAAGGTAAAAACCAGCACAAACCTCTTGCCAAGCGTCGAACATGGCCGATTCCATATCTGCAACACGCCCCAGAGCAACTGCACCCAATGCCAATTGAACAACAAACGCAATCACAACCAGCGCCATGTACACACGGAGGGTATTGATCCTTTCCTTTCTTGTTCCATAGAACCCCATAATTGAAATTGTAAGCAAGTAAAGCGAGAGGATAAATATGCCGAGAGGAACCCCGGTCGAATATATTGAGGTTGTTCTAGCCTGCGAAGACATACCAAAGATTGCGATGGCTAAAAGGGAGACGCCCGACATTAGCGTCAGAAAGTTAATCAACATGAAGAAGAAGCGAACAGTGCTCATTTTCCAATCCCGAAGACGCAAATGTCTTGCCATGATGTGGGAGTGGATGTTGCCAAACCATTAAATATGAGGGAGCACGTTAAGCTTTGCAAAAGTTAGCTTAAAAATTAATATCTAAACTTACAAATTGCAATTTAGCCGATAGGGCCTTCAAATTTATTGTTTTATTTTGTCCCTACCCCCGCCCCTCCCCTCCCCTCCTCTTTACTAATGGCCTCATTTTCACCCTTTTCCTCCACCTCCACCTTGTCAACGTCCGACAAACTTACGCGGATTGCAATTGTCAGCGAAGACAAGTGCAAGCCAAAAAAGTGCAGGCAAGAGTGCAAAAAGGGATGCCCCGTGAACCGTATGGGGAAGCTATGTATCCAAGTTACTCCGGAGTCGAAAATTGCGGCGATCTCTGAAGAGCTCTGCATTGGATGCGGTATTTGTGTAAAGAAGTGCCCATTTGAGGCAATCACCATCATCAATCTGCCGACCAATCTCTCCAAGGATACCACTCATCGTTACTCTGCAAATTCATTCAAGCTGCATCGATTGCCGACCCCTCGACCGGGGCAGGTTCTCGGTCTGGTTGGCACGAACGGTATTGGAAAGTCTACTGCTTTGAAAATCTTGGCCAACAAGCTGAAGCCAAATTTGGGCCGGTTTGAAAATCCACCAGACTGGTCAGAAATCCTGGCCTATTTCCGTGGCTCCGAATTGCAAAACTTTTTCACGCGTCTTTTAGAAGATAACTTGAAGGCGGTGATAAAGCCACAGTTTGTGGACGTTCTTAAACGAACTCCATCCGCGAAAGGAGCTACCGTTAGATCAATGCTTGAGCGCTGTGATGATCGAGGTGCTTTGAAGGAAATGGTGGAGATTTTGGATCTTGGTGCGGTAATGGAAAATGAAATTGCTAGTTTGTCTGGAGGTGAATTGCAAAGATTTGCCATAGCCGCAGCATGCATCCGAAAGGCAGACATTTATATGTTCGATGAGCCCTCCTCATATCTCGATGTAAAGCAGCGTTTGGCCGCTGCTCGAGCCATCAGGTCTCTGTTGTCACCCGAAGTTTATGTGATTGTGGTGGAGCATGACTTGAGTGTGTTGGATTACCTTTCCGACTTTGTGTGCGTCCTGTATGGAAAACCCGGAATTTATGGTGTCGTGACGCTTCCTTATTCCGTGAGGGAGGGCATCAATGTCTTTCTAGATGGCGTTATTCCGACGGAAAATCTTCGTTTCAGGGATGAGTCTCTGACATTTAGGATGGTTGAAAGTGCCGACCCCACGGCAGATGAAATTAAACACACCCGGAAATACGATTATCCAGAGATGAAGAAAACGCTACAAGGCTTCACATTGAATGTCAAACCGGGCTCTTTTTCTGATTCTGAGATTCTGGTGCTGTTGGGTGAAAATGGTACGGGAAAGACAACCTTCATAAGGATGCTTGCCGGCCTTTTAAAGCCGGATCCGATTGATGGCATTTCGCCCTCATTGCCTCAGCTTTCGGTCTCTTATAAGCCACAACAGTATACTCCTAACTGGCCCGGAACGGTAAGAACGCTGTTTATTGAGCGCATCAAGTCTCTCTATATGCATCCGCAATTTCAAACAGACGTTGTGCGGCCTCTGCAGCTGGACGCTTTGCTTGACTTGGATGTGAAAACCCTTTCTGGCGGTGAGTTGCAACGTGTTGCGCTTGCCCTATGTTTGGGCACCCCGGCCGATTTGTATTTGATTGACGAGCCGTCAGCGTATTTGGATTCGGAGCAGCGTATTATTGCGGCAAAAGTGATCAAGCGATATATTCTGCATTCGAAAAACACTGCTTTCGTGGTGGAACATGACTTTATCATGGCAACCTATTTGGCCGATCGCGTAGTGGTGTATTCGGGAACACCGGCCGTCAACACCACTGCTTCGTCTCCGTTGTCCATGCTCAATGGCATGAATATGTTTTTGGAGTCGCTGAATATTACGTTTCGAAGAGACCCGACAAACATGAGGCCGCGAATCAACAAGCTTGACTCTGTCAAGGACAGGGAGCAGAAATATTCGGGAAACTACTTTTTCCTCGAGTCATAGTGCCCAAAAAAATAAAGTAAATTTTAATTGGCTGTTTTTCCCACCAGTTATTCCGTGTCTTGGTCGATTATATTGGATATGTGTCCGTTTCAGTCAGTAAGGAATGATCAGCGGATCACTTGGTAGGTTTGTCGTTTGGGCCTCAGCAGCCCTCACTTTGGTACATTGATTTGGCACTAATTTTTGTTAGCTATGCGGTATGCTTCTCATCGGCTCTGCTGGCTACATCGTACTTACTGAGGGCGCACTTTCTGGGAGCAAAAGCATCGTGGTTTTGTTTTCGTTTGGACTGGCTTTATTTGCCGTCGGCATCATAGGTGTCTCAATGGCCGTGACCGGGTCGCCGACATTGAAAATCCTGGTATGCATCAATTTGACTTACCATAGTATGTTTCATTGCTGCTGCTTCTGATAACAGCAGAGCTGGTGGTTGTTATCGCTTCGTTTACAACCAAAATCGACATCAACCCCTCCGAACTATGGAAGGCCATGAGCCCAGCGGCAAGAAAGAAAATCCAGAACAAGGTTAGCACACGGGATTCATAACTCCTAGTATAAATGCTGTGGATTTAGCAACCACTTCCAATCCGAAGGCGTGTGCATGTATGTGAATAATTGCCAAGACGTCATTCTTGACATGATTGAGGACAACTACAACGCCATACGAAATATCTTCATTATTGTGTTTTGCCTCCAAATACTAAATGTGCTTTGCTCTATCTTCTATGCCTCTGCCATCGAGGAGCGCGTCAATAGAATCAAAAAGGACGGCAGGAGCGAGCTCGCTTCCCAGGCAAGCATGTCTGTTGAAGTTAGTAATACATAAAAAGGACACGTCAAAAGGGACAATTTCGGTAGGATTAGGGTTAGGGTAGCTTTGTACCGTAAATGTAAAGGGGGTTGGTTGTATTTTTCAATTTATGCCAAAATCTTGCTATCATACACTTCATCAACAGCATCATACAATTTCTTCGCCAATCCAGCCAACACCGTGCATCAGCTCGTTGGAACTGATTATACCAGAGCGTCCTTGGCAGCAAATTTCTTCGCTTCCTCAGCAGCAAGCAGAGGGTGAAAAACTGCTCATAGGAAGTGCTCTCGCTGAAGAGGTGAGTGTTGGAATCGGTTACCTCTAGCTTCGCCAATCGCTTCCAACTCGTTTCAAGCTCCTGTCTACGTGGACTTTGACGTACAGTACGCTTGCGTTTGGCTTTTCGCTTTCCACGCTTTATTCAAGGTGTAAGGCCACGGGACCCGCAATCCTTGCAGTTAAAGACGATTCTGGACAGGTTTGCAATAAAAGGCTAATTAGATCCATTTAGCTCTTTGGAGCCTTCTGTTCAGAGAGCATTTCCCCTCAGCTTAACCATTTTGGGTCTGGAGAATGGTGCCGGTTGCCGTTTATTAATTTCATAGTTTTTTATGGAAAAAGAATTGTGACAACACAACGAATATATATAGAGCCACAGGAAGAAGCCCATTCTACATTGTCGCTGAGCCTGATTTTCTTGCAGTCGGTTGCGGGTATGGGTCATCAATTCATGGTTTCTGTTTGTAGGGAAGGAAAATTCGGGCTTTTGCTTGATGGGGACCTGTTTAGCGGACAATCAAACCAAGTCTCTACATTTGATAACGACATTTTGTCGTGCAGCCAAAAATTCGATATCACTTCAGTTGAGGTTTGGACCTTCAAATAATACACTTTATAAATTCCCAATCGCTTTAATCATGCGAAGTTTACAAAATTGCGCTCAATGTTTGTAAAATCCACGGTTACAAATAAAATTCAACATTTGCCAGTCAAATTGGTTATGATGAGAACGCCGTTTCGCTCAATCATTACCACAAGTGTCCCCAAGCAGTGCATTCAGGGCTCGCAATATGAAAAGCATGCTTCGATGATTTTAAAAAACTATGGCTTCTCGTGGCGACAACAAATGGGGTCTCCAGGCGACGAGGGTGTCGATCTTCGTGGCCATTTGTCGCTGTCCGGGGCTCATCTATTCGATGTGATCGGGCAGTGCAAATGCACCGAAAGATCGCTCATTGGACCAAATTGTGTCCGGGAGCTAATTGGAGTGCACATGTTAAAGTCGGGCCACAATAGCATCTTTTCGCTGGTCTCTTTGTTTATTTCGAATGCAGAATTATCAAGCAAGGCAACCGAGGTACTTAATCATGCCCCCGTGCCGATGGCGTATGCCCGTATTTCTCATATGGCCATATCTGACCAAGAAAACACAAGCAGCTGGCAGGGCGAGTTGGAAGCGTTTTATTTAAATATGAAGCTGCAAGCCATGGCGCCAGAATTCACGGTAAATCGGTTGCATTGTGTTGACCGGTCATATCCGGTCTTTTTTTATAAAGGAAAGCCGATGCCGCTGCCCACGTGAACTCTATGAGGGTTTTCCATCATAATAATTCGGAAAGTTTTTGGCACAAAGATGGATGAATTTTTCCAATTTCCTCAAACAGAAGCTGCTGATTCAACGCAGATACCTCCATTAGCTTTTGTAGGAGGAGTGAAATTTCTTTCCTAAGCCCCTTCGCATTGAGGTTCCAAATCATTAACCAGGAGATAACCCGTGTGGTCTCTTTAGGATTTGCCTTGAAAAATCGAGCAATATCTGGGGTTCGGATGATTATCTCTAAAATTTGTAATGCGGCCATATGTTCGGCGCCATCGATGGCAGGGGTATTTGAAGACATTCTGGAGAAGAAAAGCACCCATGAAGGCCAATGAAGAAGGATGATTTTTGTTGCTATTTTGGAATTCTCGAGTTGGCCCAAAATAAGGTGGATCATCCAAGACTCGGTGCTCTTATAACGGTCACAACCTACATATATGGTGTTGAGGAATCTTTCAACTAAAATAGAAGGATCTTCCCTGTTAATCTCAAGGAAAAGCAGAGATGCTGGGCGAAGCACATCCAACGAGTCATAATAATGCAGGAGCGATTCTGAAAGCAGCTCATTTATTACCCAAACCCATCGCTCTCCAATGCAAATGTTAAATCGTTCTCTTAGGATTTGGATCAGCCAGCATATTGCAGAAGCCGCAAACCCCTTGACGACGGGCTCCCAATGTTCAAGGATTTTGATGTATAAAGGAAATATTTGATCCAAATTCTTGGGATACTCCGTGGCGAATACAAAAAGGCCAACAATAACCAACTGGGAAAGATCTTTGGCATCGGTTTTCAATAAAACACTCAAGCACTCTTCCGGAATTCCCTTGAAAGGAAATTCCGGCAGAGCTTCAATGGCAGAAAATCCATGCTCATGTTCAACAAATGATATAAAGATGCTTTCTTTATCAATTCTAATCTGTTCGTCTTGTGGCAAAAGATGCGCAATACCGAGGCACTCGAAAAAGAGCACGCACTTTTCTAAATTAGCTAGCGTGTCGAGTAGCGATATATTTTTTGTAAAGTAGCGCTCGAAATCTTTCGAATCAATCTTGTGCCTTCCAGTTATAGGCATTCCTTTTGACAGCATATCAGGTGGCAGAGAAGGAGCACCGCCCATTGCACACATGGCTAATTAAATTAAAATTTTTATTTTACAAAAATACAAGCTGGGTTAAGTATTCCACCAAGAAATTAGCCCTAGGCCGTCTTCGGCGATAGAGCCCTAATGGTAAAAAATTAAAAATTTAAATACAATAATCGAATATGACGGCCTATGAATGGAATCAATGCTGGAGATAGAGCTTTTTTCAGAAGCCGAGGAAGGGTTAGGATCCATGTTTCTGGCGAAAAGCTGGTCTAAAAAATAGCCAGCCAAAAGCGGGTACCTTTTTGTAGTGGAGGGTTTTCATAAAAGGAGTCCGATACGATTCGAAGGCGTATGGCGGCGCCAGCTTCGAGATACAACTTGGAACCATCATAATCCCAATACCAAAGCATTTCAGAGGCGTCACTATAGATATATTCGTACGAAAACTACAAAACTGACGAGTCCGGAAAGTGGCTTGAGGGGATCAAGATATCCTCAAAGAAGCCGAGCGAGACAGCAACCCCCCTTTCGGAGGATGAACGTACACGTCCAGTGATGATTTGCCCAGGCCAGGGATGGAAAATCACAACCCTAAACGTCACTCGCAGCGTTAATTAAAAATACAAACCTGATGAGGAGGGGCGTCCCTGGCCAATGTGGACTATTGGGTCTTTAATTTCAACGACATCGAAAATGGAAATACAAAGACCCAGTCCGGCGATAATCTTTAATGTCACCTTGAGAGAACATACCTTGTTCGAATATTTCTTTTGAAGCGCATGAAGGACAACCACGGGAAAGGGGCGGAGCAGGTGTCGCGGGTTGATACTAATATAGTCTGAAAGGAGCGACAACTGGAACATTAATTTAAAAAATTATTTTTATGGACTCGTCAATTTTGTCGCTGCATTCTTCCCTGGACCGCTTGCTTCACACGATAACATATGTAGGTGCCATCATTAGACACTATCTCATCATAGCTACACGCAACGGTAGCTCCTTTTAGAATTCCAGAGGTCCCAAGGCTATTTAGCATCTTTCAGGTATCCTTGGGCGATCTCTTTTTCTTTTTGTAGACTCACGACTGGGTATCTGAGAAGGAAATTGCAGATGCCTCAGAGCGATGGAATTCTCTGATTGAAACCCCTGCCAAGGCTCTCATTGACAAGGCCAAGGAGGAAATCGAACAGCTTGACCAAGAAAATCTTGCCCTTTCATTGGCAGTAGGGTTAGGGTTATACAACTAGGGTTAGGCTTCGGATTTGGATAGCCAAAGACAAAGCTTAAAATTGCATTTAATTGCAAGAAAAAATGACCTCATCAACGCTTTGGACATTAAAAGGGCTTTGCTGAGGTCAAAGCTTAATGAATTGTTGCATCAAAATGAGGAATAAATTTGTAAATTTTAATTGCTTTATGCACGAAGAGGAGCATCATGATGGCAGCCCCCCAGACTTTTTCATAAAGCTGCCGCAACTGGAGGAACATGCTCCTTCTTTGGACCGGCTCTTTGGAGACGGCATTGATCATCAAATTTCGGCTCCACTTTCATCTATTCGAGACGAGCTGATCGTTTTAAAGGTTCAATTAAAAGCAATGGTCGGCCAATTGCTGGTGCAACTGAGAAAGCTAAGGCCAACAGCATTGCCCAATGCTTTTGAATCCACCTTGTATGAAGAAATCTTTTTCAAGTCAGAATTTCCTCTTCGAATTGTTTGTGGAGAACAAGACGATTTGGGCACGCTGACTGTCGGCAATTCCGGAAGCGGCCACAAGCGGCTTTTCAAATCCAGGCCGTCGTCACAATCGCGTCAAAGAAACTCAAACTTACAGAGCAAGCAGCCAATAAGCGCTGTTTCTCCCTCGGCATTTTGGTCTTTCATTGAAAATAGCGGATATTTCAAAGAGATCGGTGAGGAAGAACTGACTTGGCTGGAAACCAACGAAAAGTCTCTGGCTGCAGTTGGGGGCGGTATTCCACCATTGGGAGATCAAGAGGCGAAGGAATCATCCAACGTGCCGCCAAACTATTTAGTCGAAAGGTTGTTGTCTTCTCTGATGGAAGAGTCAAAGGGAAGCGACAATGTAAATTTGCTATCGGCAAATAGCACTTCTGCGCCGACTCCTCGATTTGCCACCACGAACAACATAATTATGCATCGAAGGAAAAAGCCATGGGAGGGTCTCTGCGAAAGGATTCTATGGGATCTGCGCTCGATTGGCATATGCGGGCCAATTATAACGGACGAGGAGGCGTCAAACGAAATTTGTGCAGCGCTTCGGAAATGCCAGTCCGAACTTGCTCTAATCACAAAGAAAAACGAAGAGCGAAAAAAAAGGCTCTACGAGCTTCTGGTTGGCGAAAATTATCTTTCAGCTCTCGAATATTACAGGGTGTTGGATGACCTTAATCGCGGGATAGAGGGGGCCTATAGCCGACGCCTCGCATCGTCTCCAGATTCACCGTCTGCTGCTTCGGCCACAGCGGCCTTGGTGTCAGTTCTTAACAAAAAGGCCCTACTGATGCGGGCATTTAATGGGTCGAATTTCCCCAAAAGGTCGCAAATGGCCAAACCGCTTGGATTTGCCTCTGATAAGGGAAACCATCCGCATCTTTCGCTTCTGCAACGAATAGCAGGAGGATCTCATACCTCGCTAGCTCGGCTATTAACAAGCCCCTCCATCGGTAATCAGATGCAGGTGGATTCCACTAACCAAGCTTCCAAGGTAGAGAAAAGAAGGAAAAAGAAACTTTAGGGGGGGGGCGAAAAGCTTGTTATTGACACACTTATTTTATAAATTGAAAGAATCGCCACTTTTAGCTGGGGGACATACATGGGACCGCGCGCTCTTTTAATACGATACCTTAATGTGTGCCAAACTCTTTTTATGGGCACTTAATTTAGCCAGCTTTGTTACACTGAAATTGGTAGCGAAATTTATAGGGTGCCTCAGCAATGCTTAACAGAGTTGCGGCTCTGTCTCGACGGCATCATTCGAAAAGATAAAATGCCACAATGCATCATTCGGTTATTTGTGAGGTAATTAACCCCTACTGATGAGTAAATGCAAAAGGAAAAAGTAAATTTTATAAACACTTGAGAAAAAATTTGCTTGTGGGAACATGAACAATTAAGCAATTTAACATTGAATTTGATTGAATAACATTTTACTTGCACCATGGATTCCTTTCCTTTCCACATGAATACCTGCGATTACTCGTCCAACGCGACAGAGGATGAGCACCCGCAAGGCCATCCTCAGCAGGCGGCACATTCATCACAGCCAAATAGCTATGGGTTTGTCGGCGGAAACGTACCCGAAAGGACGTATCCGGCCGAGCAATGGAACGATCCACCTATGCTGGGCGACGATGAAAATACAGGTTCACACAAGATTTCTTCTCTATCTTCAAAATACGGCCGAGTTTCTGCTCAAAACTCAAGCTCCCAATCCCCGCAGGCTTTGTATGCAAAGCATCAGCCGCCAGGAGCTTTTCAGCAGCAGGAATACGCACAGAATGTTGATCCCAGAACCAGTTTTCAATCATATTCTGCACAGCCTCCTTTGCAATATCCAAATCACCAACCAAATTTCTCATCTGCCAGCATTGAGACTCCAGTTTCACCATCCTTTTCTCAACATGCTAACACGGCTGCATATCAGCCTCAACATGATAGCACGGCTGCATATCAGCCTCAACAGCAAGCACATCAACAATCACAATATGCGACTCCTTATTCTTCTGCCTATGAAAATTTCACTGCTCAACCTGCTTCATCTGCATATCGTTCTCAGCATCACAGCATTGCGCAGCAATATTCTTCAAATGCATCCCCTTCCATACTGAAGTTGGAAAATGTTGAGGTTCCGGGCGAATCGGTCCCCCTTATTCCTTTGACATCATGTCCCTCTATTCAAGTAACATCACTTTGCCATTTTTTAGCCCTCTGCATCGCCAGTTTTTTGTAGAGCCACCATCCAGGCTCTTCCGGCATCACCAGCCATTTCGAAAAGCATAAAAATCCCTTTGGCGGTCACTTTTACGCCATATCCACCCATTACTGCCGATCCACAGGTATGATCAACTTGTTGTCATTTGCTTATGCAGACCGCCTTTGTGCCCTTGGTCCAGGGCGTAATTCTGAGATGTCGGCGCTGTCGAACGTACATAAATCCATTTGTGGAGTGGGTGGATGGTAGTTTACGCTCGTATCGCTGCAATTTGTGTTTCTCGACGAATGAAGGCATGCTTTTGATGCGGTATCATTTTTAGTGCCTCTGGAATATGACTATGACTCCACATCTCAGAGGCCGATTGATCGAGCCGGGCGCTTTGAGCTTTCTTGTCCTGTGGTAGAATATGTTGCCCCTGATGAATACATGGTACCGAGTTGGGTGCCCTTATACGTTACCGTAGATCAGACCCCCTCAGCCTAATGTATACTGCTTTTTGATTGACGTTTCATTTGCCTCTGTTCAGATAGGTATGGATTTAATTCTCAACCTCAAGGAATGGTCGCAACCGTTGCTCGCGTTATTTTGGATTCTCTCGATTTAATTCCCAATCAAGATGGGCGCACACTGGTTTCGTTCGTTACTTTTGACAAGTCTATTCATTATTACAATTTCAAGGTTCCTCCTTCTTCTTCGTAATGCTAGGATACGGACGACCATCCACAGGTGATCATTGCTAGTGACGTCGAGGATTTGTTCTTGCCAACTCCAGAAGATTTGCTGGTCCCATTGGTATCATTTAGGCCACAGATCGAAAAGCTGCTTATGAAGCTTCCCCTGATGTATTCTAACACTCAGGTCCCGCTGTGCGGCCTTGGATCTGCTTTAAAGGCTACGCGCGCAATCATTGTATCGATGTGGTGCTTTATTTTTACTAGGGCTCCCATGGTGGCAAAATTATTGTCTTCCAAACAACACCAACTAACATCGGACCCGGGATGCGGTCTTCAGGGTCCGGGCTTTTATCTCCCTCGTCTTCATTCAGTGATGAGCCTTCTTCCACTGCCAATGTGATCTCAAATATCAAGGTAGTGCTATGCTCCCGATTTCCTAGGGCGTCCTTCAGCTATCAACGGAAAACAAGTTTTTCAAAGAATTTGCCGTCGAGTGCACCCGGGATCAAATCTGTGTCGACTTGTTCCTGTTCCCCTCTCAGCCAATCGACCTTTCCTCATTAAGTAAATGCGGTCTTTTTACCCGCTTCTAGGCTCGATGATAAAAGTTACCGGGGGCACTCTCCATTACTATCCCGGATTTTCTGGCAATAGTTCGGAAGATGTAGCCAAGTTTTCATCCGATATGTCTTGCTTTTTATCTACCTCCTTTTGTTTGGAGGCCGTCCTTCGAGTTCGAGCTTCTCGAGGTGGGAAATCAGTGTTATAAATTTTTCAGGAATTTCCATTTCCAACTACAAGGGCAACTTTTTCACCCGCCAGACCGATCTATTGGCATTGCCAAATTTTAATCCAAAGCACAGTTTTTCAGTGGAGTTTTCTATCGAAGAGAGCCTTTCCAGTCCGGTCGCTTTTATCCAGGCAGCTTTGCTACATACAACCAGCGGGGGTGAAAGAAGAATACGGGTCATTACCATGGCCCTGCCTATTTCTTCAAATCCATCTGAAATAGTCAGTCTTGCCGATGCCAGTGTGATTGCCAATGTTCTCGCAAAAAATGCCATTGCTCTTGCTAACAGATCGGACGACGATCCTAGGGACTATTTGTTTAGCAAAGTAGTGGACATCCTCCAAGCGGTCAAAAATCTTGAGCGATCCACGTCATCAATTTCGCTTCCAAGAGCGTTGAAGCCAATTGTGTTCTTGATCCATGGCGCCATTAGATCGCTCTTTTGGTCGAAACAGGGCACTTTTTTCGACACCACTCAAACCCCTACTCTCGAAGGAGATATCAGGGCATCCATGTTCTGCATGGTCGAAACGATGTCTGTCATGGAGACAACGAAACTGTTCAGTCCAAGAATTTATGCGCTGCACTACCATGACGAGTCACATGGTGGGTTTTGGCCCGTTCCCCTTAGTGGAGAACGCTTTGAAAGAAATGGGGTTTATCTGTTGGACGATGGCACGTCAATATTATATTTGTGGGTGGGAGACCTTGTTTCCAATGACCTTCAGCAAGCTTTGGATGGTGTTGGCATTTCGATGCGTTCCGGAAAGGTAGGGTGGTTGACCCTCATTACTTTGTAGTGTTTAATTGTTGCGCACAAACCCGAAGAGTACCACACGCCGCTTGGGGCCGCCATTTGTGCCTTAATCAGACAAATAGACCAGGAAAATGGAGCAAAGTCTATCATTATATTTGCCTCGAGTAAGCCAAACCAAGGATTTTTTGCTCATTCTCGCTTGATGTTCCTGCAAAGATTATTGGAGGACAGGACAGAGAATGCTGTTGGATTTTCGCAGTGGCTAGGATTGTTGAGGGACAAAGTTTCTCCAATGTAACCAATAAATATCACTTGTCATCCGCAATAACAACACACGTACATCCTGCTGTTCTCATCGACTTTTGTGTAAACGCCGCAGTAACAACAGCAGCTACAAGAAAGGGTTAGCAGTAGGGTAAGACAATGTGTGCCAACTTTGCGCTGCTGCTGCTGTTGAGACAAAATTAGGGCGTAAATTTTAAATTGAAAGTTTGGCCTGCCAATCAAAGCGAGAAAATTTGAGCCCATTTTATTTGAGCCCCAGCAGTCCAATATGGTGTTACCTCGATTCACATAAATAGCTCGGCATCAAGGGATGCATTTTCATATGCTACAGAGACTCTTATCACTTTTGTTTATAATCTTATGTGCAGCCAGTGCTTCGCATCAGCTAATGGCAGAGGGCAACGCCCCTAAAGGTTGTGCATTTTATATTGCCGTTTTTGATACGTCTAAAAAGGATCAAGGTTCAGCCATAAAGGCAGGCATGAACTTGGAAGGGGTTAAGGTACTTTCTTCTCCAACAACAGCCCCCCAACAAGTAATGATAGCCGAATACTCAACGCTGTCTCAGTCACAACTGTTTTTCCGGGTTGGCGGAAGAATTTTAACAGTGATCGCACCCAACCTTTGTCTTGATACTAAAGGAGGTAATGTTGGAACAGACCTGATTGTATATACTTATAATCTTAACAACAATCAGGCAAACCAACAATTTGAATGCTCATCAGATGGATATCTGATCTGCAAATGTGAGAACAATAACCGAGCTGCATACATCAAAGAGAACAAGGTCTTTCTTGACGTAAAAAAAGAAAAACCTGCGCATACATTTGTTCAAATTCCGGTGTTAATATACCTCTATAACGCTGAAACAAAGAGATACATAACCAGCGGCGATTCGAAAGCAAACGCGGAGCCATGGACCACAGCTTATGGTTCACCAGATGATTCAAAGCTATTTTTCCTTGTACCTGATCGCAACACTGCCGGATACTTTTACATAGTCCCGAAAAAATATATGGGTAAATGCTTGGACATCCGTGGAAGCGTAGACACTGGCAATGACATCGTCACGTGGAATATAGGAACACCATCTGTCCAGAAAAACCAGATATTTCACTTTGAGGCTTCATCAGGGTTTATTGTCAATGCGCTTAATGCAAAAGGCGAAAAAAGAGTCATCTCTGTAGATTCTAGCAACGGTAATTTAAGGTTTGGCGTACCGGGAAAAGGGTTAGAAAAATACGAAAAGTGGAACGTGTTTCCAGCAGATCACCCGGGTCCAGCGCCACCACCTGTAAAACGCGCAGAAGAAGTAAAACAATCACCCACTATAAAACGATTACCGTGCGAGGATGGATTGTACGCGGCTCCAGCGGCATAAACAAAATAAAGCATCGTTTAATGTTAGAGTTAAATCACACGTTGAGAACACGCAAGTGGTAGTGCATCGTCGTCCATGTACAAGGGGTGTTACTACGCCACGAGCAGGCAAATAAAATCGTTACATGCGTCATAATGTCTACTTAATGTCGGGGCATTTTGCAGAATAACAGCAAATCGGTACTATTGCATCCCAAAGCTCTTCAAGTTACTCCACATTTTATGGCCTTTGTTTTCGTCAAAAACGTATCAAATTATGGTTAGGCTACCACGAAAAAGAGGCTCAGATCTCCACAGGGAAGAGGGTGTCAATGTTGCCGTTGCTGAGTTGTAAACTGAATTTGACAGTCAAATGGGCAACTCGAAAAGACAGCACGCTATTTGAGCAATCATGGTCGATTGCTCATACTCGCCATTGCGCATGCGGTTGGAACCTCCCGTGCGTTCATGTTAAATAAGACCGTCCATCTCCCAGACGGGGCATTATGGATTGTTGTTTGGGATCAAATTGCACGGAGTGAACATGTGGAGCCAAACGTGCATTTAAAGTTAAAAAAGCTACAGGTGTTGTGTGCTCGGCCACAGCACTCTGAGAACATTAAAGCATCCCTACTTTCGCCAATGTGGTGAAAACACCAGGCATCGATGCTTCCAGGAGATTACACAAGACATACATGTTAGCGGTGAAAAACGGGTCAATATACCCTCTAAGGACCTCAGCCTTGGTCTTTTTCCACAGCATACATGCGAGCAGATCGATCTCAAAGGCTGGGAAAGCAGAGCTACCGACCTTTTTCAATGCTGAAACTTTCGATATCTCGACAAAATGTTGTTTCGTTCCAGCGGCAAAAAATGCATCTTACTTTACCGTTAGCCCAAGATAAGATCTTGATCTATGCCTCGACATCAGTGCGGATCCCACCGCCATGATATTATAACTATTCCAAGGGGGATCATCAGCAATACGAAATCTTTAGCACCGACAAGGAAACAAATTCGACATACAAAGATCTTAATGGAAGCAAAGAGCATAGAGTAATTACTGCAGATACCAACAAAGGGGGCTTGGCTGTCTGAATTGCGACGAAAAGCCTTGAAATTTACGGTGTGCACCAAGGAGGCTATCTTGGCCCTGATTGACGTCTTAGAAATCGTGTTTTAGCTCAAGGTTTTCGCCGTTTTAATGACAGCTAAAGTTTTGACTACTCTTCGGCAAGTAGTTTTAAGACCCCTGTTTCGCACAAAGCTCAGGGTGTTCAGACCCAGAAAGAAGTCCTGGCACCTTTAGTTGCGCTGGCTCGGGTGGTTGTCCAAGTCCCTGTAGTTTTTCTTGCCGAGGGTTTAACAACAGCAACAACTGCTTGGTCCAGATGCACGCCAACTCGTGGGTCCAGATGCACGCCAACTCGTGGGTCCAGATGCACATCAAGATTTTTCTGGCCAAAATAGAGCCCTCGACCGACTCTAGCAAACTAATCGCCAATCACAAGGTCCAGGATCCTTTACGGAACACCCAGGCAAATGCGAAACATTCCAAAGCCACCATGCCTTCACAAAGCCACAACTTTTGCGAATCCTGAGGCCGTCATTCATCAGCATCGGGTAAAATTTGAAAGCTTGTATGGAAGAGTTACGAGTGCTATCTTACTAGTGGCGGGTTAGTTGATATTCAAAAGGGAGGCAGTTCCCAAAGTTTATTTACACAAAGTATAGAAAAGATTCGGCAAAAAGGTACAGGTTTAAAAATAAAGTTTTTATCGACCATCACGGCTGCGCCATGCTCAGCAAATGTAAAGGACTTCGGAAAAAATTTTGCCCTCATAAAATTGTGGCTTCCCTTGCCTGGTGAGCGTAATCTTTATGTCATCAAACCATTGGAAGCAGTATGGCTTTGATAACAGAGCCTGAATAACCTTACGAATAAAATATGGAATATGTGCCAGAAGATCCAATCTATCAACGCATGTTTCCAATGGGATATGGGCTTCCAGTCGCCATACATCAGTCGAGCCTCCCGGACCGATTCCATCAAAGACAAGATGGATTTGTGAAGGTAGGGCATACCCGCCTGATTGTTCCGTTATTTTCTGCTTGATAAATGTGATCGAATTGTTAAGAGTGAGGCCGATGACTTTCCCGTCAATGGTGAGGATTCCTTGAGAGAAATCTTTTTTGTGGAAAAGAGCCGTAGTTAGAAAATGAAGCAGCGAAAAAGTGAGTCTCTCTTTGCCTTTGGCCACAAAATAGAAGAAGCACCATTTACTTGCAGCAAGGTGCGGCTCGATCAGTTGAGTCACCAGGTTTAGTGAGGCCATTCCCGAAATCGGTCTTTTTGGCAGCCCCTCAGCCTCAATGGAGCCGGTGAATACAAACTGCGGTGCATATTTAAACGAAAAGCTTCCGGAAGCTTTTGAAGACTGAAACTCGACAATTCCGTCCCGGAGTGTCAGAGGAGCACAAATGGACTGCAATTGAACAGAAAAAACCGCATTTGACCCAGAATACGAAATATTGAATCCAGGAGTGGGGCTTTCCATAAACTCTACAGTTAATGGCCCCACACTGCTAGTGATAAAGTCGCTATTCGGGGTATTTTCCTTCTTTGACAGACTCCATTCAGAGAATTTAAAAGTTTGCGTCAAGAGGAGATTTAACCCCTTTTCCTTTGAAAAATATCTCAAGGACGCCTGAACAAACGAAAATAGAGGGAGGCATGTCTGCGCAATTTGAAAAAATATAAAATCACCTTCGTCCGAAACCAGGTAAAAGTTTTGGGCCTGTAGCAGAGTTGATCGTTTGGGAAAGACCCAGCGAAGGCTGCTTAGCGATATAGGGTTATGTAGTCCCTTAAAGTCTTCCGAGAAAGATTCCGATTCAGTAAGCGTGTTTGTGGCGCTTGAATGCAAAATTGTCATTAAAGCAAAATAAAAGAGGATGAACAAACGAAACGAACGCATACCGGTCGGAAGGCATCTCTATGTAAGCTTTTGCCTAAAAGCCAAGGCTTAATTGGACGATTTGCAAAACGTGGTCAAAAAATTAAATTTAAAAGCAACTGCCGCAGTTTGGCCAACCCTTTTACCGAGACAATAAATTCAAGTTTACTGTTCAGCCAATCGTCGTTCAACGCAGCACTGGTACTGCCGCCATTTGCAGGCATGAGCATAATGGGATGGGAAAATTTTGGCATGGCTTCTGAGCCTGTCCTTGATCTTTTCAGATCGCCATCGATTAAGTATCTAATCAAGGGCGGGGTAGTTGACCTTTAAAAGGCCGAATTCGAGGGCCGAAAAGGCCCAGAATTCGCATCGCAAAAGCGACTCTTTTTTGATGTGAAACTCAGAAGAAAGTGTCTAAAAGAAATCAAAGGCAAATGTCTTACTTCAACCAGTTCCCTCTTGATGGAAAACTTGTCCTCATTCACTTTGATGGCTAGCATTAGACTTGCAGCAGCTATGACCTTTTCATTGGACCAGTTTACTAGCTTCTATCGCTGTTATGAATCTGCCAGTACCTTGCAGATTAATTTTTCAAAATACTCTGTAGCCAGCGACGTGGTGGCCAGTTCCATGCCCTGGAGTCGAATTACAAAATAAAAGTGCAAACCCATTTGTGGATGAAGTTCGAAATTGTCAGCCGTAGCGCCAAAAAGGAATGTTTTTGGATTCCGGCAATCGATCTTTCAGAAGACAGCGAAGGCTTCATAATAGCATCATTGCCATCGATCTCGCCGATTATAGCGTCAAAGTGCTTTCGGGAATACCTAAAGAAGAATGAAGACTCGGATCTAGCGCTTTAGAATACAGAAAAACCTTTTCAGCCGCTCGTTAAATGGGACCAGGAGGCTCCTAAAGGACTCTGTTCTCGAAGTTGTGATTATGCTCTGCATTTCGGCGTCAAAGGGATTGTTACTAAGCGATAAACACGCCGGCAATGCATACCAAGACAGCACGGGGACAGCAGAGGCTCTTCGTGTTGACATGTTTTTCTTTGTCCTTCTTTGTTGAGAATGAGCGGTAGGGCTGGTGACAGTTTCTGCGATCGATACACCAGAGGCAGTTGCTACATGCAGCGAATTGCCCGAGGTGGATTGGGGAGCAGAACCCAAACTGTGTGTAAAAGCTGCCTCTGTAATTTTCTTGATCTTTGAGAGCACATTAAGGGATTTTAAAAACAGTTCGGTGAGTTGGCGCAATTCGAGCGCATCATCACCGTGTGAATCGCTGCCATGATCATGGTGGGGTCCCATGAAATTTAAAATTAAAATCACTAAAGTTTCTCAGCATCGTGAGCCATCATACTCACTCAGATTTATTGGAAAGGATGGAAACCAAGCGGCCTTCCTCATGCAGTGCCTTGATGTCGCTGCAGCCGCCATACTGTTTTTCTAGGATGTTCAGGGAAATTCTGCCTACCGTAGATAAAAACGTTTGGAACGGTTTTCTGGCCGGTGGAGCTAGTTAGATATTCCTGTATTTGTGCACCATCATCTACAGATATCGAATGCGCTATATTACCTTCAAGGTCAAGTTCGACAGTGTATGGTTTAAAGCCAAGGCTCTTGATGAGCTCCTTGACCTGCATGGAGTAAGGACAAAACGACTTGGAAAAAACCTAAAGCATGTAAATATCAAAGCTACCAAGATGGATTTGGTTCGGATTAATTCGGCGACCTTTGACGAAATAGTGGAGTTCATGAGTTAAATTCCTTGGAAACGCAATTTATTTGCCTTTCATTTTTTGTACAAATTTAAATTACAGTAGCAGCTTCATGGAGGGGTTCATGATTGATTTCATGGCCAAGGCCCTTTCTCCTCTGTTTATGGTCGCGATGGTGCATGGGTTTGCGCGTCTCGTTTATAACCGGTGGCTGACGGTCGGGATCTGGGGGTTTATAGTCATGACGGCCGTGCTCATGACTGTGATGGCTTTGGGATCTCTGGGTGCCATCATATTGACTCTCTGGCTTTTGATGGTAGCTTTTAACAGTGCTGGCTTGAGGGCACTTTTCTGGATAGGATGGTGTCTCGGTTTTACATCTTGCATGGAAGAGCGGGATGTAGGTATAAAAGTTGTAAGCAAAATAAATGCCACCCATCAGAATGTAGAAAAAGATAACGTCGTGGAACGTAATTTCGCAAGCAACGCTGAGAAAAAACGAAAACAGCCGTCCAAAAATGCCATTGCATGGAATGAGTTGAAAAATAAAATCCCAAAGGCTGAAGTGGCAGCATGAACCTGCTCCAGTGGTATATTGGCCTCCATCACCTGCGTATGGACCACAAAAACGTTTAGAAGCCGAAGACGAACAATGCCCATTTGCAGAGCCAAATTCATCCACCAGGCTAGAGGGGGAGCAACGTCGATCAACAAAGCTGGAAGTTGGAATATGAGGGTCTCCACTTTTCTGTTCGCATGGCCCTCCATGCGAGGTAGGGTGTCCCATTTTTGGAGAATAAATCTGGGGCGGCGAGACAGAATTCAATCTTGGTGGGCTTGCAGCAGATGCGCGGGAGGAGCAGGGTGCAGCGCAAACAGTATCTGATTCTCGGAAAATGCCATTCTCAATCAGCGCCAGAAAAACAAAGACTAACAGCAAAGAGTCAGCGGCAAGGATAATTTTCGCAATCATGTTCATGGCTAGGCAAACATAGCGAGCAGGTGCAATGTGGTCATAATAATCGAATTGGATGCGAACCGAGCCAATCAAATTAGGTCTTCAGTGAAAAATGAACATCAAAATGAAAATGACCAATACTAGGGTTAGGGTTTTGGTATTAGGGTTAGGGTACTAGGGTTGACGTTAATTTATTTTCTATCACCAAGCTGGCCTTCGCGACTCTCTTCGGCAATCCACTTGGAAAGGCGGTTGTTGGGTCCAAGTGTCTTCAACTTGACCTATATTATTAAAAAGTGGCAAAACTACTATGGCAGAGCATCCGGTGACTGGACATGGAATGGACGCTTTTTGTCCAATCAATGTTTTGATGGAGCATTCGTCATACGAATGTCTGCAGGGGGCACTAGAGAAAGAAAGAAAGAGGGCATGCTACTTGATCATAGGGTCCTTCATTACTGTTTGAGAGATAGGGCATAAAGTATCTTGGGTAGTATACCGGCCAACAGGTATATGCATCAGATCCTCGGACTCTTCGCTCAGTGTCTTCGCATTGGCTAGCGCAATGCAATGGGGCAGTGCACTCTCCTAGCCGTGAGTGTTATGCATCTATACCTAGCCAGTGAGATACAATGATGATAACCTCGAGAATGCGAATCCAGGTTTTATATTGCGGCAGCTCTTCAATCGACTTGTCACTGAGAGTGGGGACCTCCAGTGTGCCCGATTTGACGAGCTGACGCAGCGAGGTGCGCTCAGAGAGCAGCTGTAGTCGCGTGCGTAGAAGCGTTTCGACAGCCTCATGGAGGATTCCAGCTACAGGCTCGGGGCCCTCTTCTATCATATCCTCGGCCGTTGCAAGGAGCTCCGAAAGCGTTGATTCTACTGCGCGTGTCTGCGCCTCCATGAGCGCCCCGAGGTCACCCAATGATTGCATAAATTTGAAAAGGGTGTTGGCCCAACCCTAGCCAGATGGAAAATAAATTTATTATTTTAAGTACCCAACGCTAACCCTTCAATCATCATCGCGTCCTAAAGAACGGGCTGGACAATCTCCATACACCCGGTGCCGATTTCTGTAACTTGACCAAATACTAAACGAGAAGAGGGGCCTCGCAATGAATCCTCCTCACTGAATAGTGAAGCCGTCTTCAAATATCCAAAGGTGCTTTCGAAGGTCATTTTTAGCAACGGGCTGGTGGAGGATATTAGCCCTGTACGGTTCATGGCACGGTAACCGCCTTCAAATGTCATATAATCTGCGATAAGCGTCAAGTGACGTGCATCTACAGAGATGCTATAGACACCAAAGACTGCAGCAATCTCCTTAATAATTACTGCACGGGCAGCTTCAACACCATACATTGCCAGGATGGCTCCAACATCATTTGAATAGAGGCTATTCATGTCAAGAAGGGTTTCCTGGTCATCACTGGTGGCCAGAGACCCATGAAGTATGGTTTTGGAATCCATAGAAATATCCATCGCGGCAAGGCCCATAAAATTGACACCCTCCGTAGTGAGTAGCAAATGACAGGATGCCTCTTCTTCTTCTTCCGAGAGAAAGCAACGGTCAATGGAAGGAATCTCGCGGACAATCACTCGCGCCAACAATCTCTCCAAAATCGGCAGCAGGAAAAGTTTTGGCTGCGAAACTGCATACCGGAATTCGAAGCTGCAACGTCCTGTTTCGTAGTGATAGGAAAAATTCTCTATCCCTTCTTCAGGTGCTTTGGCGTCTGGGTCTGACTTTGCCCGCTTGGTAGCAACAAGTGCTGCCATAGAAGAAATGCTGGTGGTACCCGAGCGGCCATCATCATCTCCCGAATCAGAGTTTGTATCAGTGTCTGGATCGGAATAGTCGATAGTACCCATGGTGACGACGGTCGTAGCGTCATCTTCCTCGCGTTCTTCATCACTTCCCTTCAGTCTGCTGCCACCATAAACGGGATCATCAACGTCGCTTTCTTCAAGATCTTCATCGCTACTTGATGATGCGTCTTCAGCTGCTTTGGGAGAAAGATTTGCATTTCCTGCAGCGGCTTCCTCTATTGAGACATCTTCTGTGCTATTCGTGGCCCCGAAACCTGTGCGTAAATGTTCTTCTGCAGAGAGCGCTGCCTGATTTATGACAAGATTTCGGCGCAGATTGCGGATCGAGCCCTTCTTGAACTGTTTACGAATATATTCTAGCAATAGGGATGAGAATGTATCCTTAATTGCGGTTACCATCTCTGTCTCACTGATGCAAAACTCAGCCCCAGATAGCTGTACTGCAGACAAAAACTGCAGTTGCACACTATAGACCCGTTGCCGGTACGATACAGAGTTGCCTTTCCTCGTGCCATTAGTGCACGTAATACGTTCTGTCACCGAAAGAGGAGCTGTAGATAAGGCTCCAAATAAAGGCGAATCGCAATCACCGTCGGACATCAAGCTATCGGTTGACTTGCGATGCGGGATGCCCGTTTCTCTCTTTGACGTGAGCAAACAAGCAAGCGTACGACGAGTAGCGCGAGCTGCTAGCCTCTGAGCGCGAGCTATGTCGACATCTTTTCTGAAGGGTACCATCATCGTAGGCGTCTTAATTCTCCGAGATGCCGTCATTACGATTTCTCGCAACCGGGGAATTCCCAATGTCACGTTTTTAGCACCAAAACCTGCAAAATGAAACGTGTTCAGTGTCATCTGTGTCGAAGGCTCGCCAACAGATTGTGCTGCAAGCACACCAACCATCTCGCCAGGTTCTACCAACGAGCGCATGTAGCGTAACCACATCAAGACGCGGAATTGGTCAGCTGTCAACGCCGAGGGATCTTTGAGAGAGGAGGCCTTCTCTAGACCCACGCTCTTGATCCAACATTCAAGCTCATCTGAGAAGCGTTCTGAAACGGCACCCAGAGAAATCCAGGGCGAGGCCGCTGAAATGACGACAGGAGCGTCAGAACCTGCTGTAAGAATACGTTTTTCGCGACGCCGCTGCCATCTCGGCGCGCTTCGTGTGTCAAGGCGCATCAATGCCTCTGCTGGCGCCCATTTGGATATCAATGCTGCGACATTTTGTGACATAAGATGGAAGCGCGTCAACGCCATAGACCGTCCCACGTCAATGCCATCTTCACCGTACAAGAACTGAATGACTGTGCCATCAACATCTCGTACTGTGCCATCGTAGTGTACACGCAGAGACTCCAGGTGCTTGACAAGGCAGCGTTGCAAATAACCAGAGCGCGAGGTTTTGACGGCAGTGTCGATGAGCCCCTCTCTTCCAGCCATGCAGTGGAAATAGAATTCAGGAACACGGATTCCTGAGAGAAAGCGCTGCGAAATATAACCGCCAGCTCTTGAGCCCAAATCCCAGGGCGCAAAACAGGGCAGTGTCTTGGCAGAAGCCATTAGCGGAACACGACGACCCTCGAGTTCTTGTTGCCCGAGAGCACCAGAGATCTGTGAGGCATTGACAAGCGAGCCCTTGGCACCACTCATCGTCATCAATGTCATGTTGTTCGCAGGAAACGTACGTAGCAACCCTTCCAGTGAGGTATCGATGATGCGCGAAGTACGTGTGTTCAAGACACACTTCATGGAACCATCAAGTGTGCGCAATGCTGCATCGTCGGCAACAGAGGTCGGTAGTGGGGTTTGAGTTGCTTCATTGTGTGTCTCTGTAGCGAGAATGGCAGCAGAACGGCGGGCTTCTGCAGAACTTACCAGCAGTAAGTCATCCATGCGGCAGCTGAAGCCGCGCCATTGTAAAAAGCGCGTCAACAATCGCGAAAGTGCGCTAAGCAGGGCGCCACAGGTAGAGCCTCCGTGTAATTCATAAAGCGCGTGTACGAGACCGTGAGGCGCATCGCCAATTTGTGCCTTATCGATGATTCCTGTCAGCAACAGTGAGTCGAAAATCTCGACAGTAGCTTCCTCTTCGCCAGCGGTGCCGCCTAGTAGCCGCGATGGCAGCTTTGTCCGCGAGGAGAGAAAAAGCGATGCCCCGCGTGGCACAATATTAATAAGAAGCGTCGAGAGCACATCCTTTCCTGTCCAACGAGGCTGTGGCTTCCAAATGGTTGGTGGCAGCAGTCGTACACCAGAGCTCTCTGCCAACAATGCCCCGGCTACCAAATGCATGTAAATTTCGTGGTTAAGAAGTGTATCACGCAACGTCAGCATTGCGGCAGCAACAATATGGTCCTGAATGAGACCACGTAGCGGCGAACCATCTGTCGGGACCAAATACTAAAAATGAGATGAAATTTTCTCAATAAGATACCTAAAAATTATTAGTTGCCTCGCTCGACATACCTGTGAATCTGCGTTGGCGATCAGATAAGCCTCTGCCCGCCCAAGCTCAGATTGCGGAAAGTGGACATTCATTTCATCGCCATCAAAATCTGCATTGTAGGTGTTACAGTTTGCATAGTGCATGCGAATCGTCTTTTCCCCGGGTAGCACGCGGCAGCGATGAGCCATAATAGATGGTTTGTGTAGTGTTGGTTGTCTGTTAAGAAGAAGTGCGTCCCCATTGCGAACGTGGCGCCAGACACGTTTGTTAACAGCGGTGGTGACTCCTTGGGTAGATTGTGTCGCAGGAGCAGCCAAAAGCCTATTTGCTAATGCTGTCCGTGCTTCCACACTCAATAGAGCCAGATTAGACAGCGTGCCATCTTCATGCTGAATGTGTGTGGCACCAGGGTGCGTCGCCGGTCCATTTATCACTGCTTGGCGTAGCCTCAGAACATTGTATGGGGCTACGGGCTCTGGATATGTCAAACGTGTGGCAAAGACTAGAGGAAGCCCAATTTCGCCAGTCTCAATCATGACATCAGGTGAGATGACACTACGCGCCGCATAGTTGACACGCTTGCCCATCATGTGTTTACGAAAGAGTCCCTCTTTCTTTTCAAGCAGTTGTTTGATGCCTGGTGGTGCAATCTTGCCTCCCTTGACGTCGAGCTTAGATGAATCATAAAGAAAGTTGACTTGCTCTTGTAGCCCAATCCATGCTGTTACGATGCGTGAAAAAGCCTCAGCATCAGCAGCACCAGGGACGGCTCCCGGTGCTTTTAAAGTTTCGCTTGTTTCCAAATGTTGTTCCCGAATGGCCACGATCTGGTTTGAGGCCTTCAGAATTGCCGTCAGGTAGCTGTTTTGTGCATTCTCAAAAACACGTCCATTCAGTATAGAAGGCGGTCTAAAACGTGTCGGAGGAACTGGAATCATTTCTACAAAAAATATCCGATGCTCTTGAGATGACAAATGTGATGCCTTAGAAGGCAAGATATTTCCGCTAAAGACAAGAGGAAAGAGTCCAGCATTGACATCGTTGGCCCAAAGCTTGCGCATACGTTCCATCACAAGCATTGGTGTGAGAAACTTGTAAGAGCGCGGTACTTGAGTGTCCTCGTTTGATTCTTCAGCGATTTCACTTTCAGAGGGAGTGGACTCTTCTTGTTCCTCTGGAAGCGGTCTTTTAGTGTCAGAGCGGGACCCATTGTTGTGGAAGGTTGTAGCATCTGGCTTTAGCCCTCTGGCGGCATTGAGAGAAGTATACTTTGCGGCAAGTGGCACTTCAAATATCTTTCCAGAAGCGACTTGTATTGCCGGGTTATAGGCGTGACAGTGCTCACAGAGCAGCGAGGCAGTCTTTCCAAAAAGACCTTCTTCAATGATTTCTCGGCGATAAGATTCGACGAGTCCAGAGTGTGGAGCTGTCTGAGAGTTTACATCCTCATCCATCTTGGCGAGTACCCGCTCGTAGTAGGCATCCAAGACCTCGGCAAAATCTTCCGCATGTCGATGCATAGGACTTTTATCGCTGCCTTCGCCTCCTGCAGCCCATTTTGAAATAACCTGATCCACATGCTTTGCTTCGAAGAGTAGCCCACGCGCTAACAGTCGCAGCTTGACCGTCCACGATGCAATCTAGGTGTTAAATGGGGACTTTAAAAGGGTTTACAATGAAGGTTAGGGTCAGAAAACTGCATGGAATAACCAAATAAAAATGGTGAAGGATAACGCAAAGATAATTTTATGAGAAAGAGGCTCGTCAGCTTAAAGTGAAGGCCTTACCTTGGCATCGCTGAAGCGAAGACGGTTGCAAAACACGCACGATGCTCGATAAAGCTTAACCAAAGACTGAAAAAGCAGAGGATTGAAAACAGGAACTGCAAGCTCAATGTGACCAAAGTGTCCTGGACATTGAAAATGGTTCATCCTGCAAGTGGCGCATCGGTCTGTTTTAGAGTAAGGACCCAAAGCTATATCGTAGAGCCCACCAGATGTAGGACGCTCACTGGCATCAAGCAATACTGTATTTGTGATTGCCTTGACCGAGATCCGCTTTATCGCCTCGCTGTCGTAGAGCGAGAATTTGACAGACGCAAGGAAATGGTTAGTGGGATGCTCAATGTTCATTAGAAATTAAAATAAATAAAATAAAATAAATTGTAACATGCGAGCGTGCCTACCATTCGTTTCCGCATGCGAGCGTGCCTGCCATTCGTTTCCGCATGCGAGCGTGCCTGCCATTTGTTTCAATGTCCTGCTACATTGCATGTTGAAAAATACTTGGATCCATGCGTTAATTTGATGCTGGAATTAACCGCTGATCCTTTATTTTATTTTTGAATTTTTATGTGAAATAAGCCTTTCCAAGTGAATTTGCATTGCCTTGTACATGAAGGCCGATGATGTTTGGATTCTCACCCCCAAATCATTGTTTTAAGCTAAATTTAATATACAGCTAGGGCGCGGCCTCTGGATGGAGCAGAGGACGTTATCCACGGGTCGTCTCTGTAATGGGAGCGGCCTCGCGTGATTACCTCCTTTTTGCTCTTAATAATTCGAGCCCCAGCAAGAATTCCAAACATGCCAAAAAGGCCCAAAATCATCAGTCCTGAGATCAAGATCCACGACCATGTAAAAGGGGAAAGGCTACTAAGGGAATTAGCGCCATGTGTGGAGTCTCCATTTCCAATCCGGAATCCATCCCAGCCATTTGCACTATCGTCAAGTGCAAGAAGATCAACATTGATGCCGGGCGGAGACTGTAGCAGCAGATTGGGCGAACCTTTGAGAGTCGAGGCGTGAATGGAATCTTTTTGAGAGATAGCGCGAACTAGGGACCAGAGCCTGGGAATCGGAATTTCTGGATGCCGCTCCATGATAAGAGCAGCAACACCGGCCACTGCGGGCGCTGCTAGAGATGTGCCAGAGGAAAGTACAAAGTCGCCGCTGTTTCGCTCGTCGAATTCTCCATCACTATTGCCATCTTTGTCATCGTCAAATCTGCCCCACTTGCTCCGGAAGTCTGATTCCGTCATAGCAAGTACATAAGGGGAGGCGCTTGCACTGGTAGAAATTCCACCATGTGAGCTAGCACCATCTGCATGTTCGATTCTAGCCTTGGCTACTTGAATTCGATATCCCGGTGCAAAGATTTTGACACATTTTCCGTAATTTGAAAATTCTGCGCGCTCGTCTGTTTGTGTAGATGCGCCCACCGTCATAGAAAGGGGCAGATTTGCGGGCGAGAATTCGCAAGCATTGGCTCCGTCGTTTCCTGCTGCAACCACGACAGGGATTCCGCGGGCAATAACAGCCTCAACTACCATGTCAAGCGTGGTTGAGCGCGGGCCACCCAGCGAGAGGTTGACGATCCCCGGATGTTCGTAGTTGGCAGCTATCCACTCCAGCGCCGCGATCAGATCTGAGTTGCGACCCTGACCATTGCACGAGAGTACTTGTAATGCCAGTATCCGCGCATGTTTGGCGACGCCGCTAAGTCGACCGGCAGCCACAGAGGCCACCTCTGTGCCATGGCCTGAGCAATCCGGGGGCGGGGCTTTATTGTCAGGCCTCATTAGCCCAGGCGCCACAAAAACAATCTTAGCGCGATCCTCAAACTCTAGACGAATCAGTGGTCAATAGTGCTACCTGGATGCCTGACGTCCACCCCAGAGTCCACGATATATATATTGACGCCGTTTCCAGTGGAGGCATATTCGTAGCAACGATCGTTAAGCGGCCGCTTTGGCTGAGAGATACGAGACAGGCCCCAAGGAGCATTCTGCTGTACATGGACTGGGGGTGAAGATGCACCTTGCGCTGCCACGACTCCAAGACGCCGCTCAAGTGCCTGCATGAATGTGTTTCCAGAGGTTCCTTTGGCCCTGGGGGAACTTTGCATGTCTAAAATCTCGTTGCTAGAGCTCTGTTGTACTCGATCTCTGTAATCATTTGCAGTCAAGGAGCTCATCATAGGCATTTCACCATGGACCATGGAGTCGTGCTCAATGAAAGAGATCCATGGGATTTGGCGAAGTAATTCTATCGGAAACACCAATTCAAAGCCCTCTGGAAAACAAATATGCAATCCTTTGAAGATTTCTTTGAAAATTGAGATGGTTGAAGCTGCACCAAAGGTCTCCATGTACACTGCAAGCATTTCCTGGATTTGTGTTGGCGTCTCTTTTCGCAGCGAGAAGGTATAGCAATGGTCGTTGGTGGCACTTGGTCCAGGGGTTGACATTGCGATCTGGATCCGTTCGCTATCTTCGTCTTTCAATTTTACTGCAATTTCGCCAAAGTTCCCATTGAAGAGCGCCGTAAAATCGTCCGTTGGCGATAATAGCCCGATGAGTTCGGCGATATCTGGAGACCGCCCATCGGCGGCTTCTCCCTGTGCTCCTATGAGCATCGTCACGAAGCATAGTAAATAAAAAACCAGTTCCATAAGAACAATGCCCCGACTTTTTGCTTATTACAGTCCTAGACTTCTCCTTCTCGACAGCTAACCAATCACGGTCAAGATCATCGATCAGCAAACTCTAACTTGAGCTATCTCTTTGACCGGTAATATTTTTTTGCAAATGACCAGTGATTTCTTTCACCGCTAAGTGCCTCGGAAAGCACAAGTATGGAGCATCGCTGACAGGCCTCAGGGGTTGACGATGTCACATCTGGTCCTTAAAATTACAGCTAAATTTCCTTGCTAACCAATTTGCTACGTTCTTAATTTATCATCAACGCCGCGAGCTGCGCTTCTTTTTCCGATCCGCCCTTGTCTCCTTTTTCATACGTGCGTCAACCATCTTATAGCGGCCTTTGACACCACGCGGACGGCCCTTGGCTCCCTTGTTTGCACCACGTGCTACGACAATATTTTTCTTTCGCGAAGAGCGCGAATTCAAGCTTTGAGGACGCATTTTGGCAAGCGCAGTGCTTTTTTGTGACTCGCTCATTTCTTCAGAGGCGGCAATTGATCCGGCCTTGGCTTGTTGAGCGGTCAGGCGCCGTAATGCTCGCGATCTGGCACGGGCTTTGGCTTCCAATTCTTTCTTTGGAATGCGTGCTGCAAGCGTCTTTAGATGACTTTTGGCTGCTTGAATCGTCTCTGCGGTCACTGGAACCTGCGGCACATTGTGGCGCGATTCATCTTCCATGAACCACGAAGGCAAATTTGCATGTCTATCGTCAAACGCATAGCGATTGAAGGAAGCATCGCGCATGGCATCCTTTGCAGCGATGCTTTTGTGGCTGCCGGAAGCACCGTGCGGATCGTCTTCGTCTGTGTGTGAACGCAAAGCGAGAGCTAAAGAGAGCCCCCGTGGTGTGGAAAGGATTTTTTTGTAATTTTCAGAGCCGGGCCCATTAAGTTCGTCCTCACTGCCGACCTCAGGGTCGGCTTGGCGTTTTCTTGAGAGAAATGGTTCCACCGCCTTAACGAACTCGATTGTCGTGTCAGAGGGCGCAGTTGCCTTGTTTTTCAAAGGCCGCTTTTGATTTGATGCAGAAGCACGACGTCCAGAAGGCTCTGGGTCGGCCTCGTCCTCAGAGGCTGAATTGAAAGCCTTGAATGTGGACCTCGCAAAAAGCAGGTCGATTCGCTTAGGAAGACCAGATTGGTTCCCACCAATGGGATCAGGCCCTTCCTCAGAGCTATCTTCATCTGTGAATTGATGTAGGGGGGTCTCCATGGAATTTTGAGATGAAAAATAGCCTGCCCAAGGGGCGATGTTTTCAGACTGGCTGTTCTCAAGCTCATCGAGATTGTGAGATGCAAGCCCAGCAGAACGTTCTTTGTAACGAGCGTACAACTGTTCAAGCTGGCCCTCAAGATCGAATTCATCACCAGAAATAGAGGATTCCTCTGGTTCATCGGCTAAAGATTCCTCCTGTGTTTCTCCATCTTCTCCACGGGCCATCATACTTTTCCCGTCTAGAGAAGCACTGGAAGATCCCATAAATGAAAAGAGCTCTTGATCATGGGCATCAATGAGCGAGGCATCTTCAGCAAGGCCAAGGTGCAGCTTTTCTCTAGTCTTGGCTTTTTTAAGAAGGGCCTTCTTTTTGATTTTTTTTGCTCGCTTTGCCTCTACTGAGATCAACCGCGTGGTTTCTTTAGAAAGATCTTGTTCTTCTTCTTCATTTTGGATTTTGGAACCATCGCTGTCTTGCACTTTAAGAGCATTTTCGTTCAAAATTTCGGTATAGCCTAACTCTGACGGCTCAGATTTTGCAGATCCAGGAAGGAATTTCTTCATCTGGCGCCGCAACACAAGGCGCCATTTGAGCAGCTCGTGAAATTCCCTGCGTCCAAGTACTTTAAGGTCCGTACAGCTCGCTATGATGTCTGGAGACGGGTTGGCTTTCGGGTGCGAATAGAGTATATCTGACAGCTGCTGTGAAAAAAGTGAAGCTTCTGAATTTTGAGCCGCATGCTTGCTTTCTGGCAACGGCAAAAGTATAGCATTGGCTGAGCTTAAGAGCTCAGCTGGGTCTGATGCCACTATAAAGGCCTCCAGGGCGATCTCTTTATACAGCATTGTAGATGCATCGTCTTCATAACCACCTCGGTGTCGTGTCTGTTTTTCTGGCCGCAAAATATTAACTTTTGAGTTCTCTGATGCTGCCCTGCCGCCATCAAGCTGCAAATGTGAAGTGACTTCGAACACTGCCTTTGGATCCAGCAACCGCGGATCGATCTTTTTCGGCGCAATAAAATCCTTGCAAACGACAAAAATTTCTGCCGATACACCTCGAGAACTTGCCGGCTTTGTAGCTTCCACATTGCGAAAAAGTGCGTTGAAAACAAAGAGCAGCGCGTTATAGTCTTTAGAGCGAAACACCTTGGTGACGAAAAGACCACCAGGGCGCAGGATCTCCGTTGCAAGGCGCAAAGAGTGGAGAACGAGTTCAGCCTGGGCATAGGCATCATGATCCCAGGAAGCCCCTACGTTTGGCGCACCATCGTGAAGAACCACATCGGCTTTCCATCCAGAAAGCGAGGCCTGGAGATTACGCCTACATTCTGCCGTTGTAATGTCCCCAATAAGGGTAGTGACTCCTGGTAGAGGCTTAATAGAGGCAAGGTCCACTCCTACAATAACCTTGCTCATGGGCATGTATTTGGAGGCTACTTGGAGCCAGCCACCTGGGGCAGCGCAGAGGTCAACAAGAACGCGTGCGCTTTCAAGGAAATTGAACTTTTGATTAAGTTGTATCAATTTAAAAGCAGAGCGAGCCCTATATCCTTGCTCTTTGGCGAGGTGATAGTATTTGTCGAGGCGACCCTTTGCCGTTTTCTTGGTGAATGCCATTAAATAAAAAATTTGCCGAAAAATTATTAAAATTTTGAATTAAAATGTGGGTGCATCCAACCCCATTTTTTAAATCGTGCGAGTATTTGGCAGCGTTATTACATATTTTAATGTAGCGTATGCATCCTACCAGGCGGCATTTTCTGAAAATTCCCACAGATTTTTTCACTGTGTTGTTTTTTTTGATTTCTCATTATGATTTTTGCCTGTTTCAATTTCTGTTTCCTTATCACCGCTATCAAAATATCGAAAAAACAGCGCTATCGCTACAAGTATGAGCGCTTTGAGAAACCACTTAACTCACTATGCTATCTAAGCAGGTCTTTTCAAATTTTTAGCAGCATGCTCTGCTCCTACTATCTTTGCCACTCGCACGCTTCGTTTCCACCCGGTATTTATTATGGCCAGCATTCTTTCAGAAATGTCCACTTTTAATGACACATTTATTGTTCAACGAGCAACAGAGCTATCCATTCATTCTCGAAAAGTCTTGCCTGTGCTTTATAGAAATTCCAATGCTGCTACTTTTAGGTGGTCTCCGTTTGATAATTCTACATCCAAAGTTGCCATTTGCTCCATCAAATAGACTATGGAGCATATTTGTATTACCACGGCCCTAAAAATGTGACTTCTGAGGCTTAGATTTGTTTCTCTGAATTTTCTCGCTGCAAAAAAGAACGTGACAACATAGAATCTCAGTAAGATGACTGCTATTAAGGCTTTGACTCTGTATGAGAATCCCCCAATATCTGGGAATGTTCAGCAGCCAAATCTTTAACCGCTTATTTTTTAGAGCCCCTTTTAGCACCACCATGTTGAAGATGCTTTTTATTGGAATCAGAGGGAGAGCTTTTTGTTCTTACCTTTTCATTTATTTGCAAGATCTTGATCTGTAGCGTGGATCAGAACTGGAGCTCGCTTACCATCCTTTATTATATGGTTGAAAAGCTAGGGTTGGAAGGTAAGCACATTGGGGCAAATAATTTAATTTCTCAATTTGCCCCAAATCAATTGATGTAACTCGAGTTCAAGTGGCTTTTATTTTAATGGCATTTTAATTAAAAAATGTGTTTTAGATCGCTAAGCTAGACTTTCCGGGTTTCACCCAAATAAACACGATGGAAACACTGATCACGATTGCATTCGTTGGATTACTTTTGCATACTGTGCTAAGCGAAAATTAGAAGATTGAAGATGTTTGCCTGTTCATAACAGACGTTTTTACTCCGGAGGTGTTTGAGGGACAAACTCGAGTAGATGCAAATGAAGCCATTAAAACAATATTTTCGCTTTCTGAGAAGAATCTGCTCAAAGGAGAATATGCCATTAATTCAGAGATCTATGATAAAATTATGGACACAATTATACAGCTCTTCAATTTCGATCCATCGGATGTTTATCAGAAGGTACCGGATATGGAAATGTTGCAATCGAATGCTAACCTAAAAGCTTTTGAGGATGAGACAACTTCTGTCGTTTTCTTTTGTGGACCTAAGCGAAATTCAATGTTGTCTCAAGCTTTTAAGGTCAACTTTTCTTATCCCAAACATGGCCTTTTATGGAGGGTCCTTATTTACAACAGTGGCGATGGGTTAGAATATCACCAAGGATACAATTCTGGTCCAAGGAAGCAATATTCACCAGTGGTGATATGTGAAGGTCCTTCCTTTCTCATGACTCAAGCCTGGACTGATGCCTCATTGAATTTTGGCTATTATCGAAAGTTTATCAAAAATTTCTAACCCAGACTTTTGGGTAATTTTCATCTGTCCAATTCAAGAAGCCATCTTCATTGAGAGCATTGAGGCCTATGCAATCGCGGTTTAAAGGCAGCACCAAGTACAATTT